CCGACACAGTGATAAATAAAAAACACTTCTGTTTGAAAGCTGCTATCAGTTTTACGCCGCGGTATTTCCAGCACACATTTCCAGTTTGGTACGCAGAAGCAGCATACCAGCCATCATTTTAAAAATCCCCTGAGCTTGCCGTGGTAAACACATGGTCGATTTTCCAAACCGCCATATCACCGTGATCTACTCCAGATGTTATTTATTTATCCTGCCTGGGCTGTGGAATGACACTGACGTCTGCAGTGCCTGTGCCGGGTTGCTTGGCTGCCTTTGCAATCTGCGCCGGCGGCGCAGCGATGACCGTGGCCGGACGCGGTGGGCGCCTGGGCAGCGGCTACACGAGGGAAGACAGGGACTAGGGCAGGCTGCGCCGGCGGCGCAGCGGTGACCGTGGCCGGACGCGGTGGGCGCCTGGGCAGCGGCTACACAGGGGAAGACAGGGACTAGGGCAGGAACGAGAAGTGTACGGTCGACCCACGAGACAGGACAGTGATCTGCTTATACCTCGTTTGCGTACTGATGTGACAAGACGACTTTTTCTTTTCGCGCACCCAAGATGTATAACGAACTCCCAGACCGTCTTCCACTTCTTCCGATGGCCTCTTTCTCAAAACATTCGAAGAGACATCTCGTGGAACATCTCAAGACGTCATAGCCTGCTTGTGTCTGCTGTCGTGACCTTTTAAACGTCCATTTAGCTGCTGACGATGGTTTGCAATAGCCCAGAGTTGATGACGGATTGCTCAAATCCCCGTCAATCAACCAACCAGCGGGAGAACCGGAGAGCGTTCACACGAGCAACGACCCGGCACGTCAGTCGCAAGCGTTTTGCTTTGCTTTGCGATCGCTCTGCAGCCGATCTCCGTCGAACGATCGAACGATTCGTTCATAATTATCAAACTCCCCACGTGGAACAAAACACGTGCCGATACGGCCACGGAACTAGGCTGGTTCTGGTTTTGTTTTGAGCCCTTTTGGCCAGTAATGACCACTTCAGGGCTATAGGATGCGATGGAGGCTTACCTTATCCCTTCCTTACCCTGGATTTTACCCGACAGCTCCACACGACTGCTATCTGGCCGGCGATATCTGCTCTTATCATAACAGGTGACTTCGCAAAGTTACTGCTGTGACTGCAACGTCAACCACCTCGCAGGCGCTTAGTAGCCAGAGCCTTGACAAGGGAGGGCTACAGGGTTGACAAATGACCACTTATAGGAGAAAGAAACGCCCCCCCCAAAAAAAAAGCAGCAAATCGCCAAATATGGTCAATTTGCCAGAGACAGCATATTTGTCTTTGAAATTTATCGGTTGTATCTCGTATAACTAGAACAGAAGCCAGAAACTACTGCGAGATCAATTCTGCCGCAATTTAACAGACGATCAACTGAAGAAATCACGTCTTAAACCGATGAATGAAATAGATCACCGGCGCTGCTCATTTTACAATGGTCCTGTGAACTCTTTCTAACCTTTCGAAACTCAGAGGCTTCGCCTGAATCTTTATCTGGGCTGTATAGAGATATGGGGGCTTGTATGATGCCATATGATGCTAGGCGTTAAAGGCTCCATAGGCCGCACGGCGTCGGCCCCGCGGCTAACACTACGCCGTGGCCGCGGGTGGTCGAAAATGATGACGAACTTGAAAAAAGTACAGTTGAACCCTTTTGGGCACCAAACCTCACATTTAAAAGGGAGCCGGACGTATATTCACCCATGTGATATTTAGATTGATGAATTGAACGGACTGACCTTTACAGTACCGCGAACTGATGCTGGAATCTGGCGATATGATTAAAGAAGTAGATGTAGAATCTCCGTTTTTGGTGTTTCCGTAGCTGTTAATCTGTCCAAAGGACAATATCAAAGCTGTAAAAAACTGATTCGCCCAGCCTGATATTTGAACGGGACGAATTATTTGTTCTAAATATTCCGAAGGATTATTGCACAATGGTTGCTCTCTCGCGCACGGCATGCGCCGCCTGGTGTTCGATGCAGTACCGATGCGGTTCAGTCTCACGGAAACTGCGACCCAGACCATCGCAGTCCTTGCTTCCGAGACTGCTGGTGCGCAGGCTCAAACCTTTTTCGATAATTTGTTTCACCGGTCGATTCTGCAATATAAAAATGTCCAAAGGCAAGCATGGGATAGCCTCATTCTTTCTCTACCTCATTTCGACCCACTCTATCCAACACTTATCAGACCCCTGATTTCTTCCCGGGAAAGAAGCTCCTCAATAAGAAACCTTCGAGTGCATTATTGTTCGCGGTCAAGGGCTGTAGGGTCATTGCGTCCCACCGTGGGGTATCTTCCTGCTGCCCGGCCTGTTGACACGGGGCGAGGTCCCCTGGCCGATCCGGAGGTCCTTAGAGGAATGCGTCATATCACATAAGTCACACTCACTGGGACTTCTGACTTCTGAACCGAGCAGACCGCAGTTGGCCCTGGATCGGCCCGATAAACCTCTTTGGCGCAACAACGTCCCTGATCGCCACAGGAGATCCAATAATTGATACATTGACTCCAGTTCGGCTGAACGGGCCCGTGCTCTGGAATTGGCTTGGAGGGTCCTGTCGTTCGGTACTGGGGGCCCTGACAGGCACAGGACCCTTCCATTGCCTCAATGTGAACAATCATCATAGGCCTTCATGTTTCCTTTCACTGTCAGAGGGCTGTGACCAACGCAAAAGGCCCTCTGTCATTCGGGGTCCCGTCCCGTCCCTGTTGAGCAAATCTTCCTCCGACCGACTCAAGCCCCTTGTTGACACAGGATACGCTGTTAAGCAGTGTGGACCCCTGAATGATACAGGAGCCCCGCATTATTGCAGAGGCCCCGACCCACGTAAATCACGGGCCCGGCCGTGTCCCTGCTCCGAAAATAGGCCCCCAGGGCTCAGACCGACACGGAGCCGACTAATCGGTGTTGGTGATCTCTGGCCGAAACAGAGAAATGATCTGTCTCAGGGGTCCCCAATCGGTGCAAGAGACCCTCCAACTGAAATATGAGATCACGGCCTCACGGGCGGGGGTCCTTATTGTGACCTGCAACTAGTCCCTCGGGCCCCTCAGCCTCACAATCGGGCTCTTGATCTTTGGTCGCAATAGACGCTTCGGTCACTCTTCGGGCTGTCAGGCACTGTGGCATATGGCCGACACAGGAGCCCTCCATTGTGTCAGGGACCCCGAACATTGCAAATCGCAGGCCCCGACCTCGTTCCTGCTTGGGAGATGGGTTTCAAGGTCTCAGACGGGCATGGAGCCGACTGTTTGGCTCCGTGTTGAGACCTCATATGATATATATATATATATATATATATATATATATATATATATATATATATATATATATGTGTGTATGTGTGTGTGTGTGTGTGTGTGTGTGTGTGTGTGTGTGTGTGTGTGTGTGTGTGTGTGTGTGTGTGTGTGTGTGTGTGTGTGTGTGTGTGTGTGTGTGTGTGTGTGTGTGTGGTGTGTGTGTGTGTGTGTGTGTGTGTGTGTGTGTGTGTGTGTGTGTGTGTGTGTGTGTGTGTGTGTGTGTGTGTGTGTGTGTGTGTGTGTGTGTGTGTGTGTGTGTGTGTGTGTGTGTGTGTGTGTGTGTGTGTGTGTGTGTGTGTGTGTGTGTGTGTGTGTGTGTGTGTGTGTGTGTGTGTGTGTGTGTGTGTGCAACCTTTATAAAAATACCCTTATAGAAGCCCACTGACTGACGTTTCAGGTCACGGCACTACGGCTGGGGGCCAGACCCGACTCCAATTGGGCCGTTGATCTTTAGTCCCGAGGGGCCCTCCACACCTTCTTCGGACCTCCTCAAAGAAAGGCCGTGACCAACTGGGGACCATTGTCTGAGAAGTGACCCCCTATTGTGCACTGTGGAGGCCGGACCGACCCAGGATCCAATCATCATTTCAAGGGCCCAGATCAATGCAAATCGTGACCTCCGGGTTTGCTCCTGCTTGGGAACTAGGCACACAGGGTTCATATGGACAGAGAGCCCACTGTCCGGTGTTCATGGTATCTGGTCGACTGAGACATCCGCAGTTTCTCAGTGGTCCTCAAAAGGTGCAAGAGGACTCTAACTGATATTTAAGGTCACGACGTTACGAGCTGCGATTCTTTAAGTAACCGACAGTCAGTCCTTCGGACCCTTATGCCCTCCAACCAGACCTTTAAGGGTCATTTCCGTTGGGCCACCCGGCCCCTCTTCGAGTCTCATTGAACACTATACTTGGTCAGCTCAGGTCTCCTTGCGAGCACAAGATCCTCTGTTAGTCGCTTTGGGTCCTGAGAGATACAGGGGCCCAGACCAGTGTAAATCATTGACCAGCCCTTCGTGCTCTAAGACCTTCCAATCGAGCCCTTGATCGTCGGACCCGGTGGGCCCTCTAGGCTCTTCGGGCCTCTTCAGACACTGCGTCTGGCCGACTTGAAGCCCCTTGTCAGAACAGGGTCCCCTTTAAGCGCTGTGGGGCCGCAAATTATGCAAATCGCTGGTCTGGCTTCGTCCTTGGAAGGGACGCTCAGGCCCTTAATCGTAGGTTCCGAGGGGCCCGAAGGGCCCCTCGGAACCTAAGGAGTGGGGGATCGGGGGCACGTATCCCCTGTACCCCCTCTGCCTGCGCTTCTTTCTGAGAGCGCCCCTTGCCTAAAAAGCCCTCTCAGCCGGAAGGAGGCCTTCGTGGCTCTGCCCCGAGTTGGCTCCCTGTTGGCTGAAATCCTGGCTGCGCCACTGCTTGGGGTTATGTACGGGCGTCGTCTTTCGTCCTTTGCGTGTCAAACGTCCTTATGAAAAGATTAAACGCTAATTTTTTCGTAATCAAGATTTTGTCGCGTCACCTGAGGCCTGGACCGTAATTATGAGAAAAAGCATAACAAATGCCGGCCTCGTTTATGTGTGGGTATTTGGGACAGGACTACGACGTACGTAGAGACTTTTTGTCTCTAAAATATGGTAGCCGTACCACAACACTTCGCACGATCGATGGAATGCAACTGAGGGCACCCGCGGCAGAGGCTCGGGTCGGTGAGGGGAGTGGGGCCGAGGGTTGGACGATATTGAGTGCATCGCAGGAGATACTTTGGAAGTATTTCCTCAGAAGTTTTGATTGATTAGCGGCCATTGATAAGAATTCATTAATGACTATTGAAAATTCTGCGATGGGGTGAGTACAATCTCTTTACCAAGCTGGGCCAATGTGGCGCACCCTGGCTGTTGCGGTACTATACAGATGCACGTGATTTTACCGCTTTTGAGCCCTATCACAATGAAGTGTAAGAAGTTTATGTCGCCCTGCATTGCACAGGGCGGCAACGGCGGTGCAGTGAATGTAGTTGTGCTCAGTTGCTTACTTTCCCAGACAAATTGTTTTATGATATCAGAAAATGCATGAATTTTGGAGACATTGTAAGTTCATTTGTGGTCATCTCACATTCTTAGTCCATCAGCGTATGGTGCAGCATATTTTCATGATATGGGAACACTTATGAAAAAGATACCTGGTTGTTTGCAGGATTGGTGGAGGCCCGGTTATGCCTCATGTTGAAATCCTTTTTTGGAATACAGAACTGTTATACCATGCTAATTTAATTTGATATATCAGATGAGGTGCATTTATGTAAGTTCTTGTGTAATCTTCATAACATATAGACCTGGGCTCAATTCATGCAGCAGGGAGCATTCAGTGATGTTGGTTTCTACCATGGCGGGCAATATTGTCAAATCCATCAATAAGTTTTCATGCTTACATACATGCATACATACATACTTCATCACCTGCAAAATATTTTTTTGAAGATCTATGTACATATCTATCCATCTATCTATCTATCTATCTATCTATCTATCTATATTTATGTATATAAGCATGTATAATCATGTCATGTATAATCATGATAATGATGTATGTGAAAACCTGGTATGGGTTCAGAGTGCTTAACTGATGTTCTATCAAATGCGCACTCCAGGCTGGTTCAGACCAATGTCACACCAATGTAACCTACTGTTTGGCTTCAAATGTTCATGGGGAGACACTCTAGACACATCCACAAAAGCTTAGTGTGAGTGTGAAAAGTCCAGCTATACTTATTTGTCATCATCATTTGCACTGCTGATTGAATGCAGCCTATTTACCACACATTGCTGAAAGCCCTTTGGAATAAGTTTTGATTATAAGTGATCTCGTTGCTGCATTCATAGCATGTCATCCATTTTGTGTGGCCTGGTGGGATAAAGATGCATGCTTTTGACAGGATGCTGTGACCATTCACTTGAGTTGTGGCATTCCTCTCTGTGTATTGAATCACATGGCAGTGACTTGTGTGTTAGGTTCTTACAATGAGCCCAAATTTGCATCAGCATTACACAAATTGCAACCACATGCTTATATATATATATATATATATATATATATATATATATATCTATATCTATCTATCTATCACTTGTGCATGGTATGAAGCCCAACATGCTTTTATGGGATCCAAACCCACAATTTCACACAAATATTGCAGAATACCAAGTAATGGACTCATAGGTCATATCTTTTGCTGTTGATCATGCACTCTTGGCTTGGTCAAACCAATGTCATCATAGATAGAGACTGGCTAAGGCAAAATTAAAACATGAAATTTGATGCACCTCAAAATATGTCCAGGTGGTACCCAGACACCCAAAAGCATTCACATACAGCCTGCACTGATATGATATCAGCATTATTATTATTTGGATTAGGACACTTCAGCTTGGTGGTGTAGGATAAATCTCTACAGAAAGCTGTTGGCTTGTTGATTGATGTGCTTTCCATAGTCCTTCTTTCAGGCATTAAGCATTTAGTTTGTCTTGGTCGATGTCCTTGGATGGCAGAGTATTTTAGGAAACTGCAACACAAACATGCTGGCATGTGTTTCTGAGTTCAGTGTTCACAATAAAGTAATACAGTTGTGCCAAATTTTGATGTACTGTAAATATATGATGTGGCAATGTATGATTATAATATAAAGGTCTGATGTCAATATGTATATAATATATGATTAATCATATATTTCTTACATTGTAATCTTTGTGAGCTTGTACCAACTTCTGAGATGTACTCATTTTGATGTCAGGTACATGAGTATTAACTTCTTGGGATGTTTGGGCAATATTTCTGGGCCACTTGCTGACATAGGTAACATTTGAATTGGATACTGCTCCCATCAAGTGTTGCTTCAAGTGGACATTGCTCATGTTGTTCAGTGGGTTAGCATCTGTCAGAGGTGTCAGGGTGCCAACCCCGTGCCACCGTCTGGCGCTCGCCAACAGAAACGTTTCCCGACCGGAGCCTAGCTCTGCGGTCTCGTCCGTCGTCTAGCACAATCGCTGTTTGTTGTTCCAGGGATGTGTGTGCTAGACGGTGTGTGTCCAACCACCCCAGACACCTGCGATGTGTGCGTGTGTGTCATGGCTCGGGCCAGCATATGTCTGGGCCCGAGCGCAGAACGCCGCTCACGGGGGCTTTTGTGGCCGTCGTCTTGTCACGGTGGCCGGACGAACCGTAGCCGGACAGATTCTTTTCCTGACCAAATCCGTGCGCGACATGCTGCGGTTTTGGCCTGATGCTTTTCCTTGGAAGCGCCACGTTCGTCACGCGGTCCTGTGTGTATTGCTGTGCGGCAGGAGCGGCGCCGTCACGCCTCGCGCGGACCAAACAGAGACGCGGCCTCCGCGGGCCGTGACGTGTTGGCGGGTCGCCAGCGGCACCGCTGCTGTCGTTCAGTGAGGATTGGATGGTTGACCTCCGCGCGTAACCGCCAGGGCAGCTGTGCCATGACCCTTCCCGTACTGCATTCGGGGTCGTAAAAATGTCCAGCGATGAAAAGCGAACTCGGGACCTTTCAGTCCGTCGTCGGGCACCGTTGACCGTCCGACCATTCGGTTTTAGTGAGGCGGTGAGTCGCATTTGGCAACGCGAGGGCCGAACGGCCGGCTGCGCGCCGCCATCCAATCCCATGCGACCGCCGGCGCCGGCCGCCGGCCGTGCAACTTGCTCCATTTGGCGACAGGGCGTGGGCGGTTACGGGCGGACGGCTTGGGCTGACCAGCGCCCAGTGCCGAGCCATTAGAACGGGTTCGCCGACCCCGGCCACTTAAGCCTACCCGGGTGCGGTGCAGACATGACTGACCGCTTCGTTGGAATCTATTGTCGGAGCGGGCGGTGTCGTTTGGCCATTGTGCGCACGTGTTTGGTGTCGGAATGGGTGGTGTTCCTCATGAAGTGCTGACTACTCGCGCACAAAAGCCCGCTGATGAAATGGGGGGGGGGGGGGGGGTGACTCTTCTGTTCCCCTCAATAAATATGTATATAAAAAGTAGAGGATGACAGTGGGTCCTTCTGGCATTTTGGGTCAGGTGATTGTAATGCGTGAGAGCACCACACATTTTTGGTTTCATACAACAGCACTAAGCCAGATGCAAAACCTTTTCCTTTTAGAAAATAAATAGTGAAATATGATAAATAAGTATCACCTCAAAAATAGTAAAATGATTTCGCCAAAACCCGATGAGAAATGTAATTTCCCTGCCCGACGCTGAATTGAGTGCCCCAACGGCCAGGGTCAAAATTGCTCCTACCTCAATATACCGACATGTAGTTTCGGGGGGTATGTGGGATAAGACGCCATGTTGATTGTGTTTGAAATGCGGATGAATCAGCAGACTTTTTGTGTGTATAATGAGCCGCCAAATTCGGTTTTGAGATGAGGATGAACATGTGAATCCTTTCATAGTGAGTGAATGCACGATTCTGCTTTTTCTTGCTTCTGGAGTTACATTGATTCAGTATGTATTGGCTTGGGTTTGTGAAAAACAATCAAAATTCCTCTCACAAGTGTACAAGTGCCTCACAAAGATGTCTCCACGTGGGGCGGAGCTGGTTTCATGACTCAGTCTTCGGCGCCCGACGGCTTTTCAGAGCATTAGAAAGGGGGCGGATTTATTGGCGGCGTGCCTGGCTGAAAGCCTGCAGCTCTGTTTTGCTCGTGATTGTCAGTTTGTCGGAGCACATTATGTACTTGAGGAAGTGTTGGTGCTTGTCGCCGACACTTAAAGCCTGAATGGGCGGCTGGTCTGTTACGCGACGGCATTGGCTCGCCATCCTGAGGCCGCTGCTGTAGATTCAGCTGCTTTGTTGTAGATCGAGCTGGTGCTTGGAACGGCCAGGTGGACCATGCATCTAGCTGTCAGGTAGTTACGTAGGTCAATCGATGGCGGCGAACTCGTTAATTAGGTCGAGCGGGCGTGGAGTTGGCAGACGCAGTTGGGTTCATCGCATTTCCCGTCAGAGTCAGCAGCCTAGCGCCGCCGAGTATGCTGAAATCATTTCGCCAGATCCTCCAGTCGTCTAGCACAGCCTAGCGACACAGTCTCTCCGCCCATATGGCGACGCTCACTCTGCCGCATGCCGACTGGGGCAGAGCGTCTTAACTCTGTGGCAGAGCGCGACAAGCCGCGGAAAAGGCGCGGCCGGCCTGCTGACCCAGTGGCCGTCTAGGGGTGGCGTTGGTCTGCGGCCGCCCGTATTGCGTCTGCCGGCCAATACTGAGCAGGCGCCAGTGGCAGCGCCTGTGGCAGCGCCGGTCAGTGCCGGCAGGGCGGCTCCCCCCCTCCCCGGCGTCACACCGGCCCTGCACGGCTGATGGAAGGGGAGGGGCGGCGGCGATCGGTCGCCCACCGGCTGGCGGGACAGCGGCGGCCCATCAGCGGCCGACGGGCGGCCACTGCTTCATCAGCTCGTGCCGGCGCCGGTCTCCAGTGGAGTAGGGGGAGGGGGTGGGGAGGGAGGAGGTCACGGCGGTCGCCGGCGGGCCGCCCCGGCCATTGGCCGGGTCGGAACTTCGGGGCGTGCGGTTCCCCGGGGACTGCCGGTGGGCAATCCATTAGTTGTGACCGAAGCCTGCCGTGAGTTCCCTCGCCACTGTCGCATGCGCTCGTACGTGCCTTATTACGTAAGGTCGTCGGTCTGTCGCCGAGTAAGGCGGTCGGTCTCGCAGGTCGGAGTCGCACTCGTGGCGCCGCCGTGTGTGTTGCGTCAGCTCTGGACGGGCCGGTGATGGTTGCGGTCCCGCCCTCGCCCAGCCTGGCGTCCGGGTGTCGATGCCCAGCCCCCCGGACCCCGCGTGAGCAGAA